CCCACAGTGGGCTGGGCCCTTCCACATCACTCATCAAGAAGATGCCCCTCAGACATGGCCACAGGCCAGTCCAATAGAGGAAATTCCCCAATTGAGGCTCCCTCAACCCAGGTGTGTCAAGTTGACACTAAAGCTATCCAGCACACTGATCTAACTGTCTGCTCCCCCTCGGCCAAACTCCACTGCTACTGGGAGACAATGCACACCAGTCCCCACTGTGGAAGGTCAGGCGAGGAGAGAGACCAGTGGGGTGAGAGGGTCCTCAGGCAGCGGGAAGAAAACACCCGAGAGGCTGTGTCAGTGGACAGCTCATTTATTATGGCGGAAGCAGAGGTTTATATAGGATGTTTTGCAGGCAAAGAGGTGGGGTTGGTTTTCTGACAGGCAGGCAGGAGCGGGAGGGAGGGGGCTTCTAAGACTACATGGCCTTTGTCCTGTCCTCCAGTCACATGATCTACAAGGGACCCAGTTAGGATTAAAGGATTAGAGACTTAATAGTTTTGCTTGGGAGTTGTTGGGTAAGAGACAGTGTATCTAGAATGGAGCAGGACAGTTTCCTGCCATCCTTACTAGGAGGTCTCCAGCTTAGCTATGCTCTACATTCCAGGCACTCCTGACTTATCCCAACAGGTAGGGAGTGGGATCATGGCTACGTCTGCTCATTTTGCCCCCATCTCTGCTCTTCAGTTTCCTTTAGTGATGGGGTCTTCTCTGTTCTGATGTCTACTACAGTGGATGATGACGACAACTGCTGGATCCCAGACCACTTCTAGAAGGTGTATGTTTTCTATTTGATTTTTTACTGCATTTCCTCCTGCAGTAAGAAGTCTCCTGAAGCAGGCACTGTGCATTTTCTGCCTGCTGGGCTGACCATCCCATCAGGAGGGCCCCTGACTCTATTACTTGAGGCTCCACCACTACATATCCTGCCAGACACTCTCCATCTAGCAGAAAACTGCTGCCATCAGTGTAGAGAGGGTCCAGTTAGAGGATATGGGATGGACAGTGAGGTCTGGGTGACTTGAGTCATTTCATCTGTTGTTTCTGTTTCTGGAGGTCTCAGTTCAGCAGGGAGAAAGGTGGCTGGGTTCAGGGTTCTGTTGGTCTTCAGGCAAAGTCAAGGGTTCTTGCAAAGGAGATTCTGGTACTGGCTTATACATGGGTTGGTGAACCAGTGATGCCCTCTGTGGTCCATCAAGGCATGTGGGACTTTGAGATTTAAAGCTTGCTCCATGATGTTTGTCAGTTTCCTTGGCTAGGTGGGCTGTGGCCACCAAGGCTCTTAAGCATACGACAGAGCAGCTGTCCCATTGCCACCATGTCTACTTGCTTGGATAGGTAGGCTACACTGACAGGGTCCTATGCTTTGGGTTAGGACCTTCAGAGCCATTCCATTCTTATGGACAAGCAGAAGAAAGCACCCTTCAAATCCAGGCATGTGAACCTTGGAAACCTTAGCAGATATGAGGCCTAGGAATGTTGTATGGGTTGAGGAACATCAGATGGATGGTGGCTTTGGCCTAGTTGATGGCACTTATCCAGTACCAGGAGACTATATATAGAAATTGACCAGGGTTCCCTGGTTCCCCAGTTATTACCTGATATACTGCCTTAATCATAGCCATGTTCAAAGTTCGTCTGGGGACCCACTCACCCCCAAAAGTTGGGCAGTCTATTTTACAGAGGAGTCCTTAGTTTTCCTCGTGTCATCTTAGTGCCATAATCTCCTGAATATCCCTTCATGAAATTTTTGATACAGTCTCAGACAGTGGGTTTTGAGTAGGATCCTTCCTATGATGTCCCTGCTTGCTGTTCCAGTGTCTCAGACTGATGACATGGGTCACAGTTTGCAGTCTTGGTCTCAAAGAAAGCAATCAGATGGTGCCTTCCAAGTATCCACAGACTGCACACCCTGTCTCAGCCGAATGTTGCTGTGACAGTGGCTCAAGGGGCCAGCCTTATTTGGGGTACATTAGGGGTTCCTGGCCAATGCACCAATTGTTTCCAGGAAACTGAGGCACAGGACACACCATGCACAGAGAAGACACTGGAGACAAAAGTGGAGAAATGAAAAAAGATTTATTTGTACCAGCAGACTAGAGTTGTCTCTGAAAAAGATGGAGCTCTATCCCAGTTTCTTTACAGATTTTATACTCATTGGTGGGCAGGTTTACATTTAGCCTACATGACCAGAGACTGCAGACCACTGGGTGTCTGATGACCACAGTCAAGAGGGTTTTTTTTTTTTTTTTTTCAGCAAGCGTATTTACAGAAGCAGAAACAAAGGTTAAGAAACATCTGCAACTGGTCAAATGAAATATATGTGTAACCAGTTATGCCTCAAGCTAAGGTTGCAAAGGTTGGGGTGCCTGTTTTTTGAGATAAAGTTTATCATGAGTAGGACCCACCAGTCCTGACTTTTCCCATATCATCTCCAGGATGCTAGGCAAGCATTCTACCACTGAGCAATATACCAGCCCTCTTTTTTATTTTGATACAGGGTTTCACTAAGTAGCCTGTGCTGGCCTTGAACTAGCTTTGTAACCCAAGCAGGCCTTGAGCTTGCAATCCTCCTACTTAAGCATCCTGAATACCAGGGATTACACACCTATGCCATTAGGCCTGGCTTGGATCCTGTTCTTAACTTTATTGAATCTAAAAATCTGAGCTCAATATTGATGAATTATATTCTCTAGAAAGATGTCTCCTTCAACACAAAGAGTTTCAAGGGTAGTGTTTCATATATAGGAAATGCTATAATCACATAAAATAGATGCCTGGGTCTGCTTTTAAGTGAGACCTCAGAGTGTGTGGGATAGAGATAGAGCTGCTAGAGGTTTTCAAATGGGAACTCTTTTTATTTCTTCTGAAGTTTGAAAGAATCTGTGAATTAACAGCAACAGATAAATCCGCCCCCGCAACACTTATTTCTCTAGTGTGCAGTCACTTAGAATGATTCTAATGAAATGAAAGGAAAGAAGTAGAGGATTGCTCCTCCAAGAAAAAAACATAAAAGGCAAAAAAATGTTTTGCTAAGAAAAAAGTCTGTTGGACTAGAGAGATGATTTGGTGGTTAAGAACACTGACTGCTCTTGTAGAAGACCTGGGTTCAATTCCCAACATCCACATGGCGGCTAACAACTGTCGTAATTCCAGTTCCAGGGGATCTGACACCTTTTTCTGACCTCCATGGGCATTGAATGACACAGGTACACATACACACATGTAGGCAATACACTTTCATACCTGTAAAATAAAAATAATAAATAAAATTTTAAAAAAAGAAGAAAAGACTATCATGAATGCCTTTGGCATTGTTTCATTGTATTTCTCTCAGGTCCATGGAAAGCAGAAGTTAAGGTAGATTTTCTTAGTTTTCCCTCTGCAACAGAGAAAGCTAGTTACAGCTTTTGAACAGCTATTGGATTAGGAAATTATTCAATTTTGAGTATTTATTTATATTCAATGCATTGAACATTATTGGGGACCTACTATGGACAAAATATATTACCTTATATATATTAGCTTATTGAGAATTATGTATTTCCATATATATATTACCTTATTGAGAATCTCTCAGTTTGAGGAGTGAGAAGGAAACAGGCAATTTCTGTTAAGTCAGAGACAGTGCTGCCAAGGAACTAATGTTAAAAGGAGTGTGACTGTTGGGTGTGGTGATGCATGCAGGAGGCAGAGGCAGGCAGATCTCTGTGAGTTCAAGGCCAGCCCAGTCTACATAGTGAGTTTCAGGCCAGCTGGGGCTACAGGGAGACCCTGTCTCAAAAAGACCAAAAAAAAAAAAAAAAAAAAAAAGTCCTTTAATAATTACCAAGAAGCCAGCAGTTGAGAGGGGCTATTGCCAGAAAGAACTGCCAACTCCAGGGAGAGGCAGAGCAGGATTACGCTTATTACCACAATTACATCATGCCAGGGGCAAAGTCAATAACCATGGTTCCATCAGATCACTATAGTTACACCAGACCAGGGGCAGGTCAGTTAACAAAGGAGTTTACAGTTCACAAAAAAGATTTTGATTAGAAAAAACAAGTTTCTCAGAATTGCCAAAGCAATGGACTGTCTGGAACTGTGGGTGTAGCTAGGAGAGAGAACATTTGGCCTGGCTACTTGTAAGTTTCCTAGTATTGTAGAAACAGTGTACTCCCTGAAATTGCAGATGGCATCCTTCTTGGAGGCCATTCTACCTGATGGCTGTAGTGGGGAAGGCTAGGCAGACAGGGTGAGCAGAAGTCAGCTAGAATAAAATGGAGTCATTTTATTTGGAGTCATTTGCCATTTCACTAATGTACATACAAATAAACAATATATTCTTAATTTTGAGTGTGCGTCACCTAGTAAAAAAATGATTTTATTTATTTATTTTATGTGTATGAGTGTTATGCCTGCCATGTGTATAAGTGCACCTGTGTCATGCAGTGCCCACGGAGGTCAGAAGAAGGCATTGTATCCCTTGGAGCCGCCATGTGGGTACTATGATTCAAACTTGAGTCTGCAAGAACAGCCAGTGCTCTTAACCACTGAGCCATCTCTCCAGCCTGGTAAAAAAGGATTTCTACCAGAAAAAATACAATTTTCTTTGAGTGGGCAACTTAAAATATTTTTACCTTCATAGTTTGAACTGATAATGTGACACTTTTTTATTGGAAATTTGCTACGGTTCTCATTTTTATAAAATGAAGTATTTCATATTTGCATAATTTTGTATATGATTTGGGCTGGAGAGATGGGTCAGCGGTTAAGAGCACTGGCTGCTCTTCCAGAGGACCCAGATTTGAATCCCAGCACCCACATAGCAGCTGACAACTGTCTGTAATTCCAGTTCCAGGAGATCAGGTGCCCTCTTCTGACCTCTGTGGACATTGCACAACATGGGTGCACTTACACACATGCAGGCAGTACGCTCATACATATAAAATTTTTTTAAAAACTATGAATTGATTATCACATGTCACTATTGTTAATTTAATTTTGTTTTTTTAAAGCCACTTGTTGCTGTACCACATAGAATTCATTCAACAAGTAGAAATGTGAGAGAAGAAAAAACCCGCTCAGAGATAAACTGTAAGTACATACTATGCACCATTCACAACTTAATGACCAAAAATAAGATTTTGTTAGAATTATTTTTATTTTCTTCCAAGTAACTTTGCTTACTAACCACTGTTAATAGTAAAATTTAATTAGTGCTACACAAATTTCATTTTCCTTACTCTTTTGGAATATTTGGTAACAAGAAAGGGAGTATATTTATGTTACTGCTTGGTTGGAAAAGTGGAATATCTGAAATAAGGAGGATAAAAGTAATCAAGCGTATGTTTATGTGAGTCACCTAGAGGGCTTGTTATACTACAGCTTATGACTCAGTGGACCTGGAGTGAAACAGCAGTTCTTCTAACAAGCTCCCAGGGTATGCAAGTGCCTGTGCTCCAAGGGCCACAGTATGTGAACTAAGCAGAGAGAGAGGGAGAGGGAGGGGGAGAGGGGGAGAGGGAGGGGGGAGAATATCTGCAAAACTGCTGGGCGTCTTCAAAAATGGATTTTCAGGCTTCATTTATCCACAGACCCTAATTCAGGAAGGGTCTTAGATTGGTCCCCTCTACCTCAGTCATGTATAAATTTGCTTATGTTGCTTTGAATTGCTGTTTACTAATTTATCTCAGTGATTTTCAACTTTGATGTGTGTCTTCAGTTTATTCTTCATTGCTGTGACAAAATACTCTGACCACTACCAACTTGGGGAGGAAAGGGTTTATTTAGCTTACATATCCCAGGTCACAGTTTATCCGGGAGCCCAAGGTAGGAACTCAGGGCAGGAACCTGGAGGCAGGAGCTGGAGTACAGGCCATGGAGGATCACTGCTTACTGGCTTGTTCCCTTGGCCCCTGCTCAGCCTGCTTTCTTATGCAACACAGGCCCACCTGCCCAGAGGTGGCACCACCCACAGTGGGCTGGGCCCTCCCACATCACTCATCAGGAAGATGCCCCTCAGACATGGCCACAGGCCAGTCCAATAGAAGCAATTCCCCAATTGAGGCTCCCTCAACCCAGGTGTGTCAAGTTGACACTAAACCTATCTAAGCACAATGTGCATATGTGTGTTGTATGAAACTAAGATACCAGTAGCCCAAATTTTCTGAGTTTCTTACATGCCCACTTTTTGAATAGGAGCAGGTAATAGACGTCTCTCTTGTCTTCTTCCCCTTTTGTCAAATATGAATATATCTTCCACATGTTGAAGGAGCAATGAGATTTTAAAGCTCTACCTTTTAGTATTATGGATTTGATATTGAGGCTTTCAAGTCTTATTCATTGTTTTAACAAGTATTTAATTTGGGATATATTTTAAGATTACATATGAGTTATGATATATATAGGTGAGTGCTGAGTACTGTTGTTAAGTATAAAGATAGGTTTTGGAGCAATGATTGATTTTAATAATATATTTCTTCTTTTTTTTTTGAGACAAGGTCTTACTTTGTAGGCCTGTCTGGCCTCAATCTCACTATGTAGACCAGGATGACCCTGATCTCACAGAGATCCTCCTGCCTCTACCTCTGAAATGATGGGATTAAAGACATATGCCACCTCACCTGGCATATTTCTTCTTCATGATAATGTTCTATGTTTCCAGCTCCTTGATGTTTCTCCATGTGACCAGTGTTTTCTCCTTTCTAAACTAAATGTTATTCAGGCAACAAGTGTAAAAACACTTGTTTGCAGAAAGGCTGTTACTGTTTTAATTTTAGGAACTCTCTCTACCTTCAGTCACGTGATAAAGGCTTGCTGAAGAAATCCTTCTGGGACTCTTCCTTGCCAGCATAGTAGGATTAGTTCTGATCCATAGTGACTGTTGAAGGGTCAGCAAGTGCTAATGCTGGAGCTGTCTCAGAGAAGCTCAGAAAGAGTTTCTTCTAGATATTAAAATGTAAACTTACAGAGGATAAGTTCAAGGAGATGGTAGAGAAAACAGATGCAACCTAACAGACAATTACAAATAGATAACGGCGTTTGGCATTATTGAGAGTACAAACAGTGTTGCATACTGGGATGATCAACAGTTATGTAAAGGTAGCCAAAAGACACTGTAGTATAAGTATGTTGTAGTGGGCACTCAGGGAGAACAAAAGACTGGTGTCACAGAAGGTGTGAAGAATGAGTCCTCCATGAGGACTTTGCTCCTCTTCTGGGAATGTCTTCCTCATCCACAGAATACAGGTACAGGGAGGGATTGCATTCTACTTTTTAATACTTAGTTATTTTGTAATCTTTGATGTGCAGTCATATGCAAACAGTGATAAAGGGCCCATGTTCAAAGTCTGCTTACTACTCCAGGCCATTAACAGCTACAAGAGTGTGTGCAGGAACACACTCTCAAACATAACTAGGTTATTCTAGGACTGTTTTTCACCAATTGAAAACTTACACCTTCTGTTGCTAAATATTCAGATCTTTTGGTGTTCTTTAGTTGATGCTAATAGCCACAATTTACATGCAAAAGTTAAAATCAAAATTTTTATGAAAATAATTATGCTATGAGACTAGTTCTTTCCCTCACTTGTGTTGGCAGTATCTGTTTTTCCCACTTTTCTGTTATTTTGTTGTTGTTGTTGTTTTGTTTTTTTTGAGACAGGGTCTTGCTTTGTAACCCAGGCTGGCCTTGAACACTCAGTGTAACCCATGGTAGAAATGATCCTCCTTTCTTAGCCTCATCACAAGTCTTTACACTGATGACATCTCAGTGGTCTTCAGGGCTTGACCCAGATCATGCAAACAGAAACAGAAGTAAAGATAATGAACCATAACAAACATTAGAGCATCAAAGAATGAGAGCACTGCAGGTTCGGTTCAGTTGACTCAAAATAGTTTATAACTTGATTTTTTTATTTATTGTTGTGTAGCAAATTACCACCCCAAGTTTAATAGGTTGAAACAGTGAGAATACATTATCTCACAAAGATGTTGTTGGTCAGAAATCTAGGACAGCTTGATGGAATGGTTCTGCCTCAGGACCTCTGGTGATTTAGCAATCAGGATATTACTTAGGGCTGTGGTCTTAGAAGGCTTGAGTGGGCTGGATGGTTGCTTCCATGCTTACTCACATGACTGTTAGCTAGAGGCTTCTCTTCCTTGTCCTGACTCCTCTCCTTAGGGCAGCTCACAAAGGAGTTCCTCCAAACCAGACGATCCAGTAGAGAGGCAGAGTACATTGAAAGTCAGCCATTAGTTTTCATATTTATTTTGTCATTCCCACCAACCCTGATCCAGTGTAAAAGACACAACCTTCTCAGTACTAGGATACAGGAGTCACTGGACCCATCTTGCAGGTGACTTCCACAAGTATGCTGCACCAACTGAATCTACCTTCCCAAACACCAAGGTCAACAGCACATGAACAAATTAGATCCTGTTTTTAACATTCTTAAAATTATGTGGTCATCATCTTTTTTGTTATAGAAAATGCCTAGGGGGCTAGGGATGTAGCTCAGTTGAAGAGAAATTACCTAGCATATATAAGTCCCTGAGTTCAATACAGCATTGCATGTATACATGAATTAATTAAAGTGTCTCATCACTTGATATTTACAGGAAGTTCCTGTGTTCAAAGCCAGCCTGGGCTAAATAATGAGACCCTGTCTAAACAAAACAGCAAACATCCTGGCATAACTTTCTTTTCTTTTTTAGTTGGCCAAGTAAAATTTGATCCACCCTTGAGAAAGGAGACAGAACCACATCATGAACTTGTAAGTAGCAAGTTTCGAAATTAAATGTTAACACTGAACATGATTGTTTAATTTGTCTATGAGTGAATGTCAGTACTGACTTTAAAAAAAAAAAACTAGCAATTAGTATTTTCAAAAGTATTTGGCAAAACAAAATGATGAGTAGTCTTAAGCACTAAATAAATAAATCTGTGTTGCTGAGATTTAATATTTTCAAATTTAAGAGAAACTAGTTTCACCATTCTCTGATTAAATGTTTTTAATGTTGGCCTGTTAATTATTCTTTTACATTTTTGTTTGGTTTTGCTGGGCTTTTTAGTATCCATCAGGGAAAGTGCCATGGTCTTTAAGCATCACATTAGAGTCCAGTGTGCTTAGAGTACTAAAACTGGGACCAGAAGGCATATGGAGTAGTTTGTCCTCTACATGAATAAGGCTTGCCAAGTGTATATATATTCTTAGATTGTTGTTTTTGTGTACTGCTTTCCAGGTATATAGTATTTTGGTACAGTCTTGGAGGCAAAGTGCTTTGCAAATCTTTGAGATGCTAATACATTATGGAAAAATTGAAATGAGATTATAAAAAATAATCCTAATGAAATTGCTTTACCAAGGCTGCAGATTACTAGTCTGATATTTTTTCCATTTCCATTTAATGAACAAGAAGAAAATAGGGTTAATAACTATTAAAGGCTGAAGTAGCAGAAGCTTTCTTCTGAAATTTAACCCACTTGACTAAAGGGCACAGAGGGAGCCATTAACCTGAGTCAAATGTACTAGTCCAGCATACTAGCCTGTAGGGGAATATGTTAAAGTCCTGAAAATGATCTTATTTTAACACTAACGCCTGCCGTTTATGTAGAGGCATGGGGTAGATTAAGAATTTTAAATAGTCATAATGTTTATGAATGCTAATTATGTTTTGTTAAGGCAGTTTGAGTTGATCTGTTGCTTTAAGTTGGCCACATGCTTCAATTCTATATTCATGAAACCTATCTTCATGACTGCTTCATGAAGCAGTTGTTGGAATGTTGCTGGCTCAGAAGCTGCTCACTATCATTTGATTTTTGCATTTGCCTTAATAAAATTATGTTAGCAGGACTTACCTCACTTGTGAAAGTTTCCCTGTGTAAATTCATGGCTTTCAGTCTAAGTGTAAATAACCTGGGTTTCTTGGTCTCTGCTAAACAGCCCGACAGTGATGGTTTTTTCGACAGTTCAGAAGAAATATACTACACTGCAAGATCTAATCTGGTATTTCTAATCTTCTGATTTACTTTGTCAGCATTGTTTTAATTTTTTAAGCTCAAATACTTTTTCCAGTTTCATTGTTTTATAAACTAAAGCTTATCATTTAGCAAGCTTCCATATATTTAAGAGTATAGCAGTTTTTCCCATAACTAGTAAAATAAATAAATCTACCCAAATACAAAATTGTAGTAGAAAACAAAATATTTTTTCCTCTTATGAGAAAACATATTTAAATATTTAAATTGGGATTTTTTTTTTTTTAGAAATCACATTTCCCTACAAAAAATCTTATTTCAGTGAACTAGAAACCATCTCTGTCTATATATACATTCATATATAAAAAACTATTAATGTTACATATATAAGATAGTATATGTTACATATAGTGTATATTAGTTTATTGCATATATTATATATTTATCCCTATAACAGTGAAGTCAGATAAAATTATGATTTTATAGCATTATGCCATGTCTGCTTTTCTCAGGAAAAAAACAAAATCTGAATTATAACTAGTAGTTTTTAAGACAATTTTTCTGTTTATATGGCTGACCAGAACCCCAAGTTGCCCCAATACTTATTCCCAAATTCTACTTTTCTACCTCTCAAATGGAATTTTCTTTCTCTTTCCTTCCCCTCCAACTTGATAGGAAATCTCAGTTTTGGTAGTTTAAGTAAGTCTTTATATAAATTATTAAATCTTTGCATTATGACATTTATAGAACATAAACTATTTGAGAAATAATTTCTTTTGGAGAGAAGGTCTTATCTTATTGGATAAAATAATATTTACACATATAAACTCTTAGCCATGCAACAAAATATATAATGGATTACCAAAATGTGGCCAACTGGCAACTGCTGACAGGGAAGCTAGCACGGTGGCTGCCATGGAGGGAGAGTGAGCTTGAGAAGCCGGCAGGGGCTACTGTGGCTTCTGAGAGGAAGCAGAACTGGTGCCAGCATTATACAGGAGCCATCGTGGACTCAAGGGAAGGGATAGGTGTTCCTGTGCATCATGGGAGTTAATGAAGGAATAGTCACTGGCACGGACCACAGTTTTAAGAGGTGTTCAATAAGCAGCTGAAATGAAGAAACTGTTATATGAGTACTAGAAATAGAGTTAGCTCAAAGAGATGGCTGTGTCATCAAAGAGGAAATGATAAGTCATAATGCTGCATGTGTTCCACAGTTGAATCTCATGAAAGGTAAAGGAAAGGAGAAGAATGGAACCAGGCATGGTGGCTCATGCCTATACTCTCAGCACTTGGGAGGCTAAGGCTGGAAGAGCACCATGAGTTTAAGGATATCCTGGACTACATTCTGAATTCCAAGACAGTCTAAACCTCAGAGTGAGACCCTGTTAAAAAAAAATAAAATAATAAAATAATAATAATAATAATAATAAGGAAAGAATGGAAAAACTGGTTGTCACATAGAGGCAGCGGTAGAGGCAGGGAAGAAGCCACGGGAAAGCTGGGAGATGCACAGATGTGCTGACTCCAAAGCAGGGGTATGTGTCACTTGGTCTCCTGAAGTGAGATGAGGATCCAGAATTAGCCATTAGAGGGGCAGGTAAGGTAGAATGTCTGAAGAAAAGAATGATTTCTGGATTAAATTTTTCTTCAGGTTAGACATGTAGACTAGAATGACACTTGGTGAAGGTTGCTGAGAAAATAAAAGATCACAGAATCAAAAGTTGAAGTCAACCCCAGTGTTTATTATTAATATCCTCTGTGCAGAAAGGGTAACAACAAAACCAGAAAATGCTGTGTGTTAGAAACATTGTGTTACTTGTAGAACCAGTCTCAAAACTTGAGGTACGGTATCCTGGTTCTTTCCCCTAGATGCACTGGGATCCTTGGCCCATCCCTGCCCTGTGATACAGGGGAGCAGTTTGAAGGGATCTGTGGTAGAGATAGAGAGCTTTAGGGACCATTAACATCTGGATAGCTGTAGAAGAGGGATGAATGAGACATTTGCTAGATTCTGCAGTTTATAAAGTCAGCTACAAAATCCCATTCCTAACAGTAACAGAAACTAACATTTATGTAGACAATTTTACATGCCAGGCATTATCCTAAGCACTAAATTTGGTATTTCTATTAACAACAGAAAGTATGTGCTTAACAGTGGTCCCATGATCACATCACATACTGATATCATTACCACCTTGACTTGTATATACTCTATAATGAACCCTGGAAGTTGCCTAAACACACATTTTTCATTATCACCCCAGTCATGAAGCCACACTAGGCTGTATTACCTTACTTTCCTTGTTTGACAAATGGAGCTTTCAAGGTGCAAAGTCAAGTGTAACAAAGTCAGGCCTTGACCTAAGCCATTCAGCCCTCAACCCCTATGCCCTATGCTATCTTGCCTCTATTCACCAGTATCATATTGCATTTTTGTTTCTGTTTAATACTGGGCTCTTCCCTCCTATCAACATGCACATTCAATAGTTTGCTTTTCACTGTAGTAAAAGATACATAACATAAAATTTCCCATTTTAATCTTTTAAAAGTATAGTCCAAAGCCGGGCATGGTGGTACACGCCTTTAATCCCAGCACTCGGGAGGCAGAGGCAGGCGAATCTCTGTGAGTTCAAGGCCAGCTGGTCTACATAGTAAGTTCCAGGACAGCTGGTGCTACAGGGAGACCCTGTCTCAAAAAGACCCCCAAAAAAAAAAAAAAAAGTATAGTCCAGTAGCATTAAGTGCATTCTCATCATACAACCATTACCTCTCCATCTCCAAAGCATTGTCATCTTCCCAAACTGAACTTCCATACCTAATAATATATTTCCAATCCTTCTCACCAGCCCCTAGTGACCGTCATTCTATTTTGTCTCCATGAATGTGGCTATTTTGGGGTAGTTATTCAAACATAACATCACGTGTGATTTGAAATACAATCTTTTAATCTAAGGATATTATTTTATAGGGCAGATAAGCTCATTTTTAAACTATAGACAAAAGTTTTACTACTCAATTATTGCTTCTAGTAAGTTTTAGTAATGCAAGCAGTTTTCAAAATTAAAATTTAAAGACCTGAAACTTAAGCTCCATAAGTGGAGTCATTCTGCTTGTCCTCTTCTGACTGGCTCCCACCACTTAACATGTCACAGCATTTTCAGGGTTCCTTCACTTTGTATCATGTGTCATAACATTCTGTTTCATACTGAAAACTGGTCTATTTTCTGTAAATACCATGTGTTATTTATTCATTCATCTATTAATAGGCACTTAGGTTGCTGTTACCTTTTGGCTGCTATGGATATTATGGCTAGGCCCACAGGCCCACAAATGTATGTTTGAATTTCTGCTTTTATGTATGCAGAAATGGAACTGCTGAGTTTTATGTTGTTCTGTATTTATTTTTTTAGAAGCTGCCATATACTTTCCATGGCAGCTACACCATTTTACATCTACCCCAATGTACAAGGCTCCAATTTCCTCACACCTTCATCAGTTACTTTCTTTCTCATTTTTTCTTTTGTTTCAGTTGTGATAATAACCTAATAATGAGTATGAAGTAGCCACAGTTACTTCAGCTCTTAAAGATGACTGTTGCAGGGGTGGTGGTGCACACCTATAATCCCAGCACCTGGGAGGCAGAGGCAGAGAATTCCTCAGGAGTTTTACCCATGGCAACATAGAGTGTCAAGGCCAGCCTGGAATATATGAGAGCTTGTCTTATAAAATAAAAGGCTTGGGACTGGAGAGATGACTCTGTGATTAAGAAGACTGTTCTTGCAGAGGACCCAGGTTCAAATCCCAGCAACCACATGGCAACTAACAACCATCCATAACTCCAGTTCTAAGGGATCTGATGCCTTCTTCTGACATCGAGCATTAGGCTCGGGTACATGGGTACACTAGCATGCAGGCAATACACTCATACACACAAAATAAAAATATTAAATTAAATATTTAAAATATAAAAGGTATGGGCTAGAGAGATGACTCGGTGGTTAAGAGCACTGACTGCTCTTGTAGGGGACCTGGATTCTTTGGCTCCCAGCAATCACATGGCAGCTAACAACTGTCTGTAACTCCATTTCCAGGGGAATCCAACACCCTTTTCAGACCTTCATAGCCATTGCACGGCATGGGTTCACTTACATACATTGCAGGCAAAATATTCATATCCATAAAATTAAAATAAATCAGTCAAAAAATTAAAAATAAAAAGCTTGTTGCTAGCTACCATATACCTGATGAACCCAAAATATCTGGCTCTCAGCTCAGGCAGTTGACACCAGAATGACAGCACTGAATGTTTTGGGACCCAAAAGATACATTTATTCCCTTATCTTGCTGCCTAAATGTTGTAGGTTGTCAGTGATTTCTGATTGTTTTAAGTGCTGAGAGTATTCATTTTATGATTTTTAAAAATAAGGTTTTAGTATTATACCCTTAATATTTGTAGCTACCCAAAAGTAATTTTGAAAGAATCAGATAATCAGAACTTTATGAAACAGAAGAAAGATGGGACTTAACTTTTAGGTCTTTAAATTTTAAGTCTGAATTTAAAAAATTGCCTGCATTACTAAAACTCACTAAAAGCAATAATTGAATAGTAAAACTTTTGTCTATAGTCATAAAAATGAACTTATCTGCTCTATAAAACAATATCTTTAGATTAAAAGATTGTATTTCAAATCACACCAGATGTTATAATATGCCTAATTTTACTATTTTTTGAAAGTACACTGAAAGTTAGTAACACATAAAATATTTTGGTTTTCGGGGTCTTTTTGCTTCGGAGTTTTTTTTGGGGGTTGTTTTGTTTGCTTTTGT